TTTGTAGAAGAAGTTCGGAAGTATTGTCTGAGACAGACAGTGCAGTAGCCTTAATGGTCTCCCTGTCTTCTACATCTCACTTCTCTTCCTCACGTTTTCGAGACAGCCAAAGCACCTTACAAGCCACAGGATCTCTTTCCCTCCTCGTAAACTTAACAGTGGCTTTCACAGCATGCAAGATAAAGGTCAGACTGCTTAAGCTTCTATGTAATGCCTGCCATAAAAATGCCAACCTGTCTTTCCAGATTCTTTCTAATTATATCACTCTTAGAATTTTGAACTCTCCATGATTCATATTCTCATTATTTCTATCTTTGCCCGTAGACAGAAAGTGCTCTTATACTGTATATTTGGTGTTTAAAATTCTATCATTCGTCAGGTTTCAACTCAAGCCCTTTCCCAGCTCTTAAAATCTTAAGGAATTCTGAGGTGGGAAACAGCGTCATTCTGGCTTCACCAAGGTGAAGGTGCCAACTGAAGGACACTGGCCAACATTACTCAGAGACAGCATGCAAAATATTCTCCACAGCTGAACTCTCAGTGTATCTTGGCCAATCCATAAATCACTCAAATTGTTTTCCCAGGCAGCCAGTCTGCTCAAGGGCAGACTTCCCATTATGGCCTCTTTATTAACTTCCAGCCAATCTGCTTACCCAAGGAAAAGAAAACACAGCTTGCTGTGCCCAGACTTTGCAGTTTTTCTCCCCTATCTCTTAAAATTGGTTACATAAATCCCATTTTTGCTTATTCCCATATACCCATATACAAGTCAGCTCTTAATGTGCTGATCAGACCCTCTAATAAAGGTCTACAGGCCACACCTATAAAACCAACTCAAGCCTTCAAACCACAGACAAAACCAGGCATCACAGCCCAATCTGCTCTCAGACCCATCTTCCCCCGGAAAGGAGAGCCTGTTTTGTCCTATGTTAACTAATATTTACTGATCTTTCAGTGTCTCACAGATAAGGAGCTTTGTACCGTCCTAGTCATTTCCTGCTATGTAGATATTGGCACTTCCTTTCAGATATTGTTATAAGACTAGACCAGCCCAGATTGTTTGCAGGAGTTTCAGTTTGGGCAAGTAAAAAGTGATGGAAAGGTTTTTGTCATCCCCCCGCCCCCCAGTGTAATCACCCCCAGGATACCCAGGGTCAGCTGTAAGGGATGGAAAGTGCAGCTTCAGTGCCAGGCTGTGAATACATACTTGGGTCATTTGGGCCGAGAAACAAGTGGTAGAGAATCTCTACTGCTTAACATCAGAAAGAAAGAAAAAAGACCTAGAGATTCCTATTTCCTACCCATTTCATTATTTATTTTTCAGTTTGAGCAAAGTGTAGGGTTCTGCTGAAAAGAGGAATGCCCATGTCTTTGACACCTCCATGTTTATTTTGAGCCCCTCATCACTTTTAACTAAGACTTTTACAATAGGCTCCTAGGTGGAATTAAGACTTGGCTTCTGCACACTTCAGCTAAGACCTCAGGCTTTCACCAGAGCATCTTTCTAAAACACTGATCGCATTAGGGAACGGTTCTGCTAAAAATACATTAAGCAGCTCCTCACCGTCTTCAGGTTCAGTGTCTGAATTACTTAGTACAGGCTTTTAACAATGGGAGTTTTTTTCAGCTCTACACTCCGCTTCCATTTTACAGGATATAATTCATATGAACCGTCTGTATATTAAATGGAAGAAGCTAGTAAAAATTGAATAATTAAGGAGTAAGCAGGAGGGAGAGGAAGGAAGGCAGGGAGCCGATTATCTCATTTATAACCACATACAGGCTTTGTCTTAGGTTAACTTGATTTGATTTTGCCATCAAATGCCTTTTCCCCATTTTAGAAATCACTGCTTTGAATTCCTCCCTCCATCTGGCCTTTCTTTCCCATCCTTCCATGTATTGGCTCAGGCCAATGATCTAGGAGTCATTTTTTACTCCTTTCCCTTCCTACATTTCCCTTTCCAATCTATCAGCAAATCCTGATGATGGTATCCCAATTTATTTATCTTTCAAATCCCTACATTTACCACTACTTCCCCCTCTAATATCGCCTCATGGTCCTGTCCACCAGCATCTCTTATCGACTCTTCTTCAGTAGCCTCTCATGTGGTCTTCATGCTTCATTCTTGTCCTAATCTAGTCCATTCTCTTGTAGCATTCACTCATTGTCTTAAAATTCAAATTGCATCAAGTGACTTACTGTTTAAAATCCTTCAATGACTTCTCAATGACTGTAAAATATAGTCTATATCCCTTGCCCCCCAAGGCCCCTTGTCTCTCTCAGACTTCCTCTTTGCAGCTCTCTCCTGAGCTCATTAAATCAACTACTCTAGTCTTTTTTCAGTTCCTCAGGTTTGCCAAACCACATCCCATCATTGAAAATGCTCTTCCAACACTCTGCCTTTCCCAAGGGCTCTTTGTACTCTTCACGTTTGCTATCATTTTATTTTTGCTTTTTCTGAAGCTCTGTGAGGATGGAAAGTCAGAGACCCTGTGTTTCTTGCAAACTTTTATACCCCCAGCTGCCTCTGCACTATTCCTTCCATATCATTTCCTAAATAATACCTGTTGGACACATAAACCCTTGAATCAATGTAATACAAAGCACAGTTAGAAGTACTATTATCGGGAAGCAGGGAGGGCATCTATTTCATTGAGACCTGAAGGAAGGAGAAAAGGAGAGGGACAGATCCACAAGGTATGTAGCTTTAGGCTAGGAAGTTACCTGGAACCTTTGATTTCCTCTCTAAACTAGGACAAATCCCCTGCCTAGTATTAATGGGTAGGTTATGGGTGTGAGGTTTGAAGAGAAACATTGAAATTTGAATAACTACTGAAAGGAATGGGAACATTACTAAAGAAAATCTAGACGAAATGGTAAATGGTTCAGGTGTGTTGGAAACCATGACCTTAATCAGTAGAGCTGACAGATTTTCTGCAGCTCTGCTCAGTAGTGTAGGCTTTGGGGAGAAATCAGTTAGCTTCATTGAACCGATGTTTAAAGTTTGAAGGATAGGTGTGAGGAAAGTTTAAAAGGGTTAAATATTTTTGAGAACTGTGATGAAAGTGATCGAGTTGATTTACAGATGTCTTAGGCTGAGTAGATAAAGAAGTGAGCCAAATGGGTACTACTAGCTTATGACAAAATGGAATGGTGATAGGAGTGAACTCCAGGTGGCTTAGAGAGGCAAAGGGGCAAGGAGAGATGGGGCAGAGAGATCTCTTTAGAATAAGACAAGATTTCTTCCAAGATCTTGTTATACCTGACAATTTTTCTTTAAGA